TTTGAAATGTTATCCCTTGCTATTAAGTTGAAGATAATGAAATTATAGGAATGGATGCCATCTCATATGCTAGACATGATCTCATATTCTTCTAGTTCCTGAGAGACTGTGACTAATGTGATTCCAGAAATTTGCCCACCCTGAACCTGTTGTGTCTCTGGGCTTAGGCATAGTATTAAGTACATTCACACATGGATGGTATTCAGTGAATAATTATAAAATAAATGAAGGATAAGCAAATTGTTACATCACCTTGAAATAACAATGGTCTCAATTATTTTAATCAGTCTATCAAAGTATATTTTAATGCTTGTCAGTTAAGAATTCTTATTGCTAGAAGTTAATTTTTATACCCCACTCACATCTTACTTAGTGGTTCTCGACATTGTCAAAAATAGACCCCCTTTTAATAGCCAACATTTAACATACACACAAAAAGAATCTAACCACAACATCATTATACTTTTTGTATTTAGTGTCTGATAAAATAAAATAAATTTGAGGATTCCTTAAAATGATTTAGTAGCAAACCCCCTTTCTGTCCTTCTCACCAAGTTAGGAGCCCACAGATTGGAAATCAGAGTCTAGATTCTCTTCTTGTGTTCTTGTTTCAGAGAGAAACAGAGGACAATTGCTCTATATGAAAATTCTTAATGTGATTGCCAATCACTGCATCAGTCACTCTTAAGTATTTTTAAACCTTAGCAAAAATAAATCCCTTTAATCTTGCTTCCACCATTTATTTTTCCAGTACTTTTATTTTTCATAGTCTTTTCTGAACCTTCTCCAACGTTTCCACATTTTCAAGTTGCAGAAGCCACAAGTGGCCACAGTGCTCTGGTAGCACTAATTTAATAAATATAACAGGGTGACAAGCTTCTTGAAGATAGGTACTTTTAAATTTAGGAAACAATGAGTTTAAATCCAAATTAAAAAATAAATGTCACTAAACAATGTTGGCCTATAATGTTGGGTGGAAAAGATATCACAATATCTTCCATAAAGTTACTGTATTTCTTGGACCTTATCTCTCCCATACTAGTGTTATTCTGCTGCGTAATGGGATACACAGTTCATGTCTCTAGCCCATAAAAATGCAGGAATGAGTCCCATATGTACCTTTGCCTATTCTTTATGATGTAGACTCTGATTAGCCTCTGGGCCACACAAGTTGAGTTAACATGTCTTTCCAAACAATTCTGTTATATTTCATTGCTCCGACTCCTGTTGGCAGGCTGATGAAATGAACAGTTGTTCTCCCTGCTCTCTCAATCCATACTCCAGTATCTTGGAGTATATTCCTGGGAGCTAAACTATCCCTTCTTTGCTCAGTCTTTTAAAGCATTAATAAAGCACAAATCACATCATTTTTATCAATGTAGGTGGGAATTATGAGCTAACTAGAGATTTTTCCAAAATCCTAAACTGGCTGCAAGTTGATGTGGTAATTTATCTAAGCCCTTAGGGCCACTGCATTATGAAAGAAGTAGAGAATGTATATTCTTGGGGTTTTATTTGAGTTAAAGCTTAAGAGTCCCAAAGGACAGACATGTTAATCATAAACTAGCAGCTTTCTCAATCTGATTTTCTTTCCTCCAATGCTTTCTCCAACTCAATCTGAGTTTACTAGGAAGAACAACAAACTTGAATCACAAGATGCATTCATTCCTGGCTTTCCCCCTTTTCATCTGTGCAGTTGTGGGCAAGTTACTACCACTCTAGGCTTGTTTTTTCCCCTATAATTCAGGAATAGTGATATACTATAAGCATTATTAATATTTTGAGGATCAAAATGGGACAATGTTCAAGTCTGTGCTGCATGAACAATAAAGCAAGATTAAAACATTAACATAGTATTGTAGTTATCATCAGCAACATCTCACAGTCTGACAGTCTACAAGTGACTTGAGTTTCCAGTGATTCCATAAAGGAGTTGGCACAATAAACCAGTGGGCCAAGTCTAACCCATGGCCTGTTTTTGAACAGTCTGTGAGCTAAGAACAGTTTTTATGTTTTTACAGGGTTGTAAAAACAAAAGCAAAAACAAACAAACAAAAGAATAATAATAAGAAAAAGAAGAAATCACAGAGACCGTATGTCAGCTGCAATACCTAAAATAATTTACTATCTGGCCCTTTATAGAAAAAGTTTGCTGAACCCTAAAATAGTAGAACTAAGTCACATGAGTTTATACCCACTCTGGACATAACACTATCTCCTGCTGCCTCCACTTCATCTCTTACTTCAAAATCCCTTCCAATCTTACATAGGAGGGCTATGGATGCAAATAATCCATTATTTTGTTATTGATTGGTGGACATAAAGATTCTTCAATCACATAAAAGATTACAACAATTCTCAAGTCACATGGTTTGGGAGGCCAGCAAATCAATGTGATAGAATTAAGCTGTGGGCACAAATTATTTTAGAAAAGACCAAAGGATTTCACATTTTATATTTTTGTTTCCCTCCTAATAATCTGCTACAAATAGAATTATCTCATCTCTCTCTCTTTATCCTATCACCACAATCTTCAAAACCCCTTAATCCAAACTGATACTGATGGCAAAGAGCCTCTGACATAATTAAATTGAACCATATGAATTCTGGATCAAGATTAAGAAAAAAATTAAAGCATTTATTGTGTTGAATTTCTTATGCCAATTTTCTGCTAAAAAGAAGGATTCAAAAGGTCAAGGATTTTGTAGCACAGACTTAGTGGTATATTAGTTACAGTAATTCAGCCTGAAAATTCCAGCAGAAATAAATACAATGGAATGCCATGAATTACAAGAGACCACAACTTTAATCAGCTCATGGGAAAAGAAAAACATGCATTTGCTTATTGACAGTTGATAAACTGAATCCTGAAGCTCTATCACTGCTGTCATATTGAAGAAAACATTTTGAGCTTCCATTCTCCACCCCGACCTGCACCCCTGTGCCTTGTGATGTGAACATAGAACAGAATACTATCTCCATTTTTCTTGCAGATATTCATTACATTCACTTAGTGGCTATTCTCTGAGTCAGACAAGACCCCAAAACACGGGAACCGATATGGTTAGATAACAAGTAACAGAATAACAGAGACTTTATGAATTATTTTACTTTAATTTCAAATGCAACATCATAAACCATAACACAAACTTGAGCATTCTTATGTTGTAAATCTTATTTACACCAGTATAAGGCAGAAAACTCATAACTGAAAAGAATACTATGCCAGAGACATAAATATTTGCTGAATAAGCTTTACCTCAAGAATCTTATAGAATTCTTAGGCTTTCATTGAAACACAGTTTCTAGATTTTATATGAGTTTTGACCCATAAAAATAATGCCTGAGTTTATAAACTCTTTAGCTTCTTAAGATTAAATAGTTAAGAATGCCAAATTAATTTGGGGAAGGAGTTACTTAATAAATTGATTCCAAAATCCATATAGAAGATATACATAGGAAGAGTCTAGAAAATTTTTGAAAAAGAAAAATAATGAGGTACAAATTCCCTTTCTACATAGTGAAATATACTCTAAAGCTATGGTAATAAATATGGTGAGGCATCAGTACAGGAAGGGCAGGCAGCTCAATGAAACAGAATAGTCTAGAAATATACCACAGATTATGTGGGGATTTACTCTATGAAAAATGTAGTATTTCAGATCAGTAAGTTGTCTGGAGATAAATGGTAGAAAATTTTCAAGAAAATTTTTGGACCTTTCTCAAACCATAGATAAAAATTAATTCCAGAAATTATTTTAAATATTTTAAATGTAAAAAATTAGTGGATGTAAAGTACATTTTTTATAATACTTGAATGGTGTCACCAATGCCAAAAATGTAGAGGGGATGATGAAAAGATTTGATAAAATAAAATTTCTCAACTGTTTTATGGTAAAGGTGTCATAAACAAAGCTGAAGGACAAGGAATAAATAAGAAAAAAAGCTGCAACACATTCAATAGAGCTATTTCCCCAGATATAAAGATCTCTTACAAATCAGCTAGAAAAAAACCCAAAAAGCTGAACACTATGAGAGAAAAAATAGACAAAAACATGAACAAGCAAGTCACAAAAGAAGTACAAACTGACTTACATATATATGAAAATACTCTTAAAATTCATTGATAATTGGAGATAAATGGGCAACAATGAGATATAAAATTTTGCATTTTTTGAAGGCAACCTGGCAGTATGTATTAAAATTTAACCCACAAATTGTACTCGTAAAAATTTCACCTAAGTAAATTATTAGACAAATACAAGATAAAATATACCTAAGGAAATACATTTGTACATGGTAATAATAAAAACTAGGATAAAACAAATTATCTAAGATAGTTGGTTACCTAAATTATAGAAAGAAATATTATGTAATAATTTAAGAGATTGATAAAGAATATATAAAGAGGAAATCGCTAGAAAATATCTAAAAATCACTTAATATTAACCTTGGTTATTTATGTGATACAATTTTGTTTTTTTACTTTCTTCTTAGCAATCACCTGATTACTTATTTAAAACAAGCATGCACATAAGTCATTTAACACTAAAACAAAATCTCTATGTACTTTCATGGAAATATATCAATGATTTTTTAAGTGAAAAAAGCAGATTAAAGAACAATATGTGTATTGTGATCTCATTCAAGTGAAAGAATTGAGTGTGAAAAAATATACACAAAAGGAAAAGAAGAAAAAGGAAGAAACGCTAGAAGGCACTATATATTAATAGCAAGAGGTTCCCTTTGAGAAGGGGACAGTGTAGATGTTATCTGTATATACAGATGTATTCTCCTGGCTGCTTTTGAGTATTTTCTTTCTTGTCTGTGTTTTTCTATTTTTAGTTTGAAATCTATATTGTTCTTGTAATAATAAAAAAAGTAAGCACTATTTTTTAATCTGAAAAAGTTTGACTGTTTTAACACAAAATGAACCAACTATCTTGGGGCTAGCCTATAGTAGGTCTTCATTAACTCTTTTTGTTTGTTTATGTGTTTAGAAGAGACACCAAGGCAAACACCAAATCCTCAAAAGAGCTCAGTCTTTACTTCTATTTCACTCCTTTCTGTATGCTGCCCAATGGTGAAATGGGGAGGTAATACAAGCCAACCTATTGAGTTGTTGCAAAGAATGAGAAAATGTTTCTGTAAGTATAAAGTTTTCTTAGTTCCTTCTTAAAGTGAATAACAATTGTAAAATTAATAAATGACAAGCTTTCTGATTATATACGGCTGCTGTCCAGGCCCTTCCTGTAACTCAGGCCAAATTTCCATTAGTCTAAATGGGAAACATCTTCAGAAAAAGACTGAAATTTTGGCATAAGAATCATTTTTTAACATGTTTCTTCCTGGGTAAATTACTTTATGGAAGAATTAATAATTGTCTTCATGTCTGGAGTCCTGAAAGAAGGGTTGTATATAGCTTGCAGTGAAATCTACGATGCTAAGGCTTATTTAGGCAGTTAATAAAACATATGCTCATTATCCAATAGCCCATTAGAGCTCCTCTAGAGCTACCACTGTTGCTTTTGAATCTGTAGAAGTCTGCACCATAAATGTATGTTTTTTCCGTATAAAACAGAGTGAGTTTTGAATTGTAACAAAGCATCGTTTAAATTTTTACCCAGGCTATTTTAAAAATGGATACTGGCTCAAAAGAGAGTAGTAATTTCTCTGTTCTATTGTGTAATGATACATATTGGCACCTCTCTAACACTGAAAATGTGAGCCAGACTTCACAGTAAATGGCATTATGAGATGGTAGTACAGAAATGAGTCCATGCAATGGCTATTCATGGTAACAAAATTATAACTGACCTGACCTCATTTGAAAACATGAAGTATATTCTGGTTCAATATCAGAATATAGCTGCCCTCCTCATGTGTCCAATAATTAAATACCTCTTTAAGGCATCCTTTCTGAAAGTCCTCTCCTCTCTCAAATTGGAAGTTACTGTTATCCGCACAGGTAGCTCATTCTCTGCCTGTGCAATTTTTCTTCTCAATGGTTGGGAATAGAGGTATTAAGAAGGTAGTATGTTTTCTGTTCGGTCACTAAAAGAAGTACATGCAACAGCAACACATCTTAGGTATTTATTGGTGCTACCCAAGGAAGGAAACAATGGGGGGAAAAGAAATAGACTCAATCTCCATCTTCTTAGGAGATGGAAGGTACGTATGCACATAGATTCCAATGGAAAATGAATGTGTACACTGGGGAGATTCCAGAACTACCTACTGGGACAGAGAATACAAACAGATGAACTGAGTCTGCAAGAATAATCTTGCAGAGTCTGCAAACAAAAAAGAAGGAAGGGGGTGGGGGAAGGAGAGGAGAGGAAGATTTCCCTTTCCCAGTAGAAAGATCCAACAAAGCAAGGAATTTCCTTTTAAATGGGATGTGCTTTAACTTCCCTAAGCCAGAGACACTGCCATCAGACAACCACATTTGTCAAGCATTCATTTTTTACCCTCTTTTAAGCTGTATAAAATATTAGCCTCAGATAAGATTAAATACTCAAACATTGTCAGGCCTCAAAATTCAGATGTTGAAGAAGTTCAACATCTAGTCACCAAGGACAAAAAGATGATAAATAAATTTTGGTACTAAATTCAGAATAGAAAACATGTTTCAAAACTGTACTTTTTTAGGTAGTTGAGAAGTCATGCATATGTGTTACATATTAGAGTTTCTTTAGAATTGTCCTTCTTGATCTTGTATGCTAAAGGTTGGGGGACTGTAATATCATGTTTTACATATACGCTTTTTATTTTTTTTTATTTTTTACAGACAGGGTGTCTCTCTGTCACCCACACTGGAGTGCAGTGATACAATCATAGCTTACTGCAAGCCTCAAACTCCTGGGCTCAGGTGAAGCAATCCTCCTACCTCAGCCTCCCAGATCAGCCTGTGAAGTAGCTGGGACTACAGAATATGCATAACTGTGGGTATTTTTTGTTTTATTTTTTGTAGACATTTTTCTGTCAAGACAGGGTCTTGCTATGTTGCCCAGGCTGGTCTTCAACTCCTGGCCTCAAGCTTTGGCCTCCCAAAGTACTGAGTACAGGTGTGAGCCACCACATCCATCCCATATATGCCTTTTAAAATTTATTTTGTTGCTTAGAGAATGCATTCATTTTCTGAACCCCTGTTTTGTAGCAACTCTGATGTTAAAGGGCTAGGGAGACACAAAGTTGAATAAGGCAGAACCCTTACCCTAAGATGCTCACATTTTAATGAGGAAAACAGACTCATTAATAGATCCTTTCAATCTTTGTAACAATTGCTGTCATAGTAGTTTGTCTTTTTTTCACCATCAATTCTTCAAAGTCCAGTTTAAAAACAGCCTTCTACTAGAAGCCTTCAACAGCTTTCCTGAAACAGGTAGAATTACTCACCCCATACTCCTTTTCTTTTTGGATTAGGGCTAATTATATACATACGTGAATACTGGGTAGACAGTGAGCAATCTGCAATAGATGGGGCAAAGTAGCATTCATTCTGTATCTTGGGTGCCTAGTAGTTTTTGGCATGTGTAGACACTCAATAGATGTGCCTTAAATTTAATTGAATTCCAACGAATCATTTAATTCCCAGAATGTTGTATCATTCCTTTCATTTATGTATTCCCTCCAAAATAGCCATATAAATTTACAATGGGCCAAGAGCTTGGAAGACAAAAAAAAAAAAAGAAAGAAAAATTAGTCCTTGAGGAAAAAATAAACTGTAGTCAACAGTTTTTCAACAAATTGAAATCAATGTAATAGCTCTAATATTGTTTTCATTTTGCTAATAATGAGCAGGCATTTTGTGGTAGTGAGAGTGCAAGTGGTCACTGAGAATTAAAGGAGCTAATATTTCCATTATGGCTTTAATCAAATGTAAAATTTTTTCTTATGGTACTTTAGTTTATAACATTAGGGTTCACTTTCAATCTTCTTAAAATTATTGGTCTATAAAAGAGCTACTATTTCCAAGTAAAAAAATTTTTTTAAAGGTAGAAGTTTTAAAAAGCAAACCATTTTGAAAATATTTATTTATTAATGTTTATTTTTATATACTTTAAAATAATGTCTTACATAGAACAATCAATAGAAAACAAACAGATTAATAAAAAGTAGCCAATTGACAAAAACTTTTTTTTTCTATTGTTATTCTATTCTTTCATCTCTATAACCTCTGGCCTCTCAGTGTTACCAAATCTTTATATTTCATAGACATGTAAAATTTAGAGGCTCAACATAGGTTTTGCCAAACATTTATTTTACTGAATAATGGCATTAAAAATGAAAATCAGCAATTACCAATTGTTATTACATTATTTCATAAGACTTTATAACATATAAAATATAGAAGGTCCTATAAAGGTAGATATTTAAATTGAATAAATTTAGCTTTTAAAAATCCCACTTCATGTCCTTACTATTCTTATTTTTCTGTGAATCAGTGAAAATTTTGACATAGATTTGTAGTGTCCACAGTTTTCTTTTTGAAGTTTCTGTGCCTTATTCTTCTCCCATATATTCCTGCATCATTCCATCATTCAACAAAGAGAGCCCTTCCTGTGTCCCAGGAACTGAAGAACAATTCATCTTGTGTGTTCTCACGGCACTACTGAAAACAATCTGCTCCTAAGAGAGGCTCAGTGAGCAATTGTTTAATTGTATTGAATCAAACTGGATAAATATCACCAGTAAAAGCCAATAATTTTAACAAAGGTTTCACAAAGAAAGAATTAAGCACATAGCATTATCAGTTTGTTTAGTTTAAAAAAAATGACAGAGGACTTTTTAAAGGTATAAGTTATAGAAATACTACTGTGCATATATAATATACATGTAGCATTATGGAAGAATTAAAGTAATAGAACTTTGCTTCTATTTTTTTTTTTTTTTTTTTTTTTTTTTTGAGACAGAGTCTCGCTTTGTTGCCCAGGCTAGAGTGAGTGCCATGGCGTCAGCCTAGCTCACAGCAACCTCAAACTCCTGGGCTCGAGTGATCCTTCTGCCTCAGCCTCCCGGGTAGCTGGGACTACAGGCATGCGCCACCATGCCCGGCTAATTTTTTATATATATATCAGTTGGCCAATTAATTTCTTTCTATTTATAGTAGAGACGGGGTCTCGCTCTTGCTCAGGCTGGTTTTGAACTCCTGACCTTGAGCAATCCGCCCGCCTCGGCCTCCCAAGAGCTAGGATTACAGGCGTGAGCCACAGCGCCCGGCCAAGAGAATTTAATGAAAGAGATTTAATGTTTAAAATCAATTAATGCAATTAATATTACAAGCAATGTATTTACCCTGCACATTGGAAAAAATATTCAAGCAGTATAAAAGAGCATATGGTGAAAAGTATCCCTCCTTTTTCTGAACCCCAGTTGCTCAAATTCCCCTCCCCAGAGATAACTACAGCAACTATGGTTACCAGATTTTTATGTATCTTTCCATAGATAGTCTATGATTATGCAAAATACATATATCCCCATTTTTTCTTTTTTACAAAAAAGGATAGTACACTATATACACTCTTCTCTCTATTGCTTTTTAAAGTTAATATCTATTTTAAGGCTGGTCCATATTAACACCTACAGATTTGCCTCATTCTTTTTAACATTTGTGTAGTATTTCATTGTGTACTTATACCTACTCTATTTAACCCATTGCCTTTTAAGGTTTTATACAGTCTTGTGCTTTTTCAAACAATAATACTGCCAGTATCCTGGTACCCATCTATGTGTACACCTGTAGGATATCTCCCTGGAAAGAGAGTTGCTGGGGCTCCCCCTGCCTTTCAACAACAATTTGCAAATTTTAAAAGATTCATTCTGCTCACCCCTTGTGATTTGGCTCTTATCCAGACTGGCTGACCCTAATTTCTTTATCCCAGTGAATCTTAACCTCACTGCACATCACAATAACCTTGGGGTTTTTAGACAATATCATTGCCACCTTCTCAGAGATTCTGCTGTAATTGGTGACTCTGACATGTAGTGTAAGGTCTAGACCCCGGTCCCACTGCTCCTTCTCTGGGCATCCTTCAGTTTGTCCTAGACAGAGAGTAATTCTAAATGGTAAAAAAAACACAATAAATTGCTCCTGACATCTGAGTGAAAAAGTATGGAATCATTTGTAAGATGGTCAGTTATCTATACACTAAAGGAGTCCACGGTAAAATAGGAATTTCTTTATCTTTCTCCTTCTTCTTGACTCACTGTTTCACTTCTTAACTAGTTCACCGTTAGTCCTAGAGAGGTTGCTTGGTCTTCTGCTCCTTTATTAAATATGAGCTGAAAAATCAGTAGAAATCAGGAGCAAGATTAGGAATGAGACATAAGAGTCCATTATGATCTGAATGCCTCACTACATAGTTCCTACAGATCCTTAGTTTTTCCTCCTTTTATATATTTTTTTTCTTTCATTCTCTCTTGCTCTCTTCCTCCTTTTATTTTTTCATGTTTCTTTTTCAAGAAGTTTGTCACTTCTTTAACTTATATAGAAGCTTACTGCTATGAGGATCGGATTATGACAGACAGTATCCAATCTGAATAATATGTTAATTTTTGTGTCTAATAGGGTGAAGTCATAATGCAAGTTTTTCTGTGTTCAATGTTGCAAAACACCTATCATCTTTCTTTGGTAACCATTCATGGCTAGACGCTCACCCGCTCCAGAGAAAAGCTGACGAAATATATAACCTTTTGCTTTAGCTATTCATTTACAGATGCTGGAAGCTCCAGTTGGGGTGTCTTTATAAGGCTGTTTTCTAACAATTAAGCTAGCTGTGGTAGGAAATTAGTTCCAGCATGTTTTATGGGCAGCTACAATTTTGGTTCAAAGGATGGAGCGCATAATCTCTGCAATTTCAAAAGAGAAATATTACAGGCAAATTCTGACATGTTTCTCTTTCATGGCTATTTGAGAAACCACTGACACCTCACATTGATATTCTTCTTCCTATGTAATAAGTTAATAATACAACAATCAGGGATGAACTGGGAAGCGATGTGGGTGGAAGCTGTTCTGTACTGGGAGTGGAATGATGTGCCCTTAGTATGATAAGCTGATCCCATTCCATTAAATCACGAAGCTGTCTCCCCTATGTGCATCCCATATGAACGGCTGAAGAAAAATCGTGGAATTGCTAACACCCGCTGCAGCTGTCAGGAAATGATACTAATTAGTTTAATTTGCAATAACACAAGCACTTAACTCTCCAAATAATCTAAGTTAGTAAGTCAGTTTTTATATTATGACAATGACATGTTTAAGAGACTCTGGAGCACTGCTTTTTTGACCTTTGACACACATTTCTGATAAAGGAGCACATCAAAGATGTTTTGTTTTTCTTCTCCATTATTCTTTCATCTGTTTCAGTGGAAATTATTTGATAAATGAGACAGTTTGGTAGCTTTACATAACTGAAAAGAAGCTGAGACTGATGCTTCGAAAAGCACATATTAGCCAAAGGATTATATCTGTAAAAAGAAACTATTACTGTACCAAATGGATGACACCTCTTAGATCACTAAATCCCCTAGAATTCACATGTTCACATTTCATTCTATTCGGTTTTTTTTTCCCCTTGCCCTTTTTTGGTGATTGTCAGCTCAGGAGAAGGGAGCTCAAATGGTGAGTTTCACTTTCTCCTCTTACCATTTCGTTTCTGTGTTCACAGCGGGCTGCTACTGTTTCTGCTCCTTCTCTTGACAGGCGAATGTTTAATGTCTCTTTTTTTCTTTCCCTTTTCCATACATTTGGTATCAACATCTCTTTCAAGAAGCGAAAGAGGGGAAAGCTCTCAAAAACATTCACGTACATATTAAATGAGCT